TCGCTGCTGAGAGTCCGAATGCCTCGATTGCTAGCCGCGGCTGAGTGCGAATGCTTCGATAGCTAGCCGCGGCTGAGTGCGAATGCTTCGATAGCTAGCCGCGGCTGAGTGCGAATGCTTCGATAGCTAGCCGCGGCTGAGTGCGAATGCCTCGATTGCTAGCTGCAGCTGAGTGCGAATGCCTCGATTGAGATTCAGTGCGATGCTTGCATGAAATATTTTACCAGCAGCAAAACCTTCTCTGGAGATGCAATTCTGTCGTGTTGAAGCGTTTCGTGTTTTTTTACGATTTTCGTGAAATGACAAGTGGGATCTTCACTGCGGATTCAGTAGAAGAATTTATAAGATTTTCTTACAAATTTGTTAAAACGGATCCTATGTTTTTCATTTTTTTCTAGTTTGATGTTTGTTTTTGACACCATTTAATAACTGATTTTTCATTAAACTCCCAAATTTAGGTGTGAACAGAGTTTGGTGTAAATTTTCGAAGTGATCTGGAATTCCTTGAGCATAAAACACGGTCTTTTCTTTCGACCGGACGATACTAATTGGTGTTATGTTTGTATTCAAGGCACAAAACAAAACTAAAGCTCAATCTATGGCTGAAGAACCGATGCTTCAGCAGCGATGTGTCTGTATTTTTGTGTAGCCATAATGGAAGTAAAGGAAAAATAAAAACTTGTATTTTTAAATCAATAGATTATAACTAACAAAAACTAGATTGTATATTAGTACTAATTTCATTAGTCTGCTTACATAGCGAGTTTACCAAGAATTGGAAAACAAGTGAAACTCCAATTAAAGTCAAAATATCTTCATCGAAAAAGTGTGAGTTTACTTGACACTTTCTTTACTTTTAAAGTTAGGGCAAAAATTAGATTCTCACTTGCAGCGCTAATAGGATGTCATATCTACCAGGAAGCATCGTTTGTAGGGCCGAGCTCGGTTTTTGCAGCAAAGAATGATTATGCGGCGGCCAATTATGTTGTTTGGCTTAGAGCTTCGATGTCACGACAGGATACGAAGATAATCCACGTCTAAGCCACATGCAGGGCTTAAGCCATTTCAGTGGGAAAAATGAGATTCTTATAAATATCGATGCTTTTTACCCCCTGTGTGGATCATCCTGACCCAGTTTGTCCGCCCAGCATAAGGGTTTTTTTTTATAGTTGGGGTTAAGACTTGTGGCGACAAATGCGCCCACCAGCCTGTTCTCTGTATCAATGGGTGTATCAATGGGTGTATCAATGTTACGTCAGAAAATGCACTATTTGGACAATATGCTTGCATGAAATATTCATTTTTCATTTTTTATTGTGTGCTTAGATAGCGCGTCCTTCGTTTTTGTAGATAATTTATTGATAGACTTGCGGAATTTGTGTTTTCTATTTTATTAATTTTTGTGTCTTCATTAGCATATAATTTCTCTTTCACTGATTTCGATAAATGGATTAACGATGTCATAAAATTTTCATGCCATCGCTGCTAACCGTGCATTACGCGAAGGTATCGTGTATTACTACCAATACCTGTTGAACAGTGAAGTTGCCACGAGGATAACCTAGTAACCGAAGGACCGACTGGATAATAAATAATTATTTAATTAACAATTATCGAATTGATTTTATTCAAACTGTTTTGGTAATCTTAGTCACAATAGTTACAAGTGCAGCGCTAGCTTGAGAGGCTAGAGTCATAAGCATTAATTTACCCTAAACCAAGTTATAAAGTTACCCTACATATCAATTAATTTAATTTTACTTCTGATTTGCAATGATGGCTCACCATACAAGATAAAACGTAAATACAAATCCATTCACCTGACATTTGAGATGATCGAGTTTCTTTTTTATTCATTGTGGGTCATTCTGTTGCGTGATAAATGCGATACTCTGAGTTGAGGTCGAGTAACCTTTTCACGATCTAAGATATATTTTAATTACTCTATCATCAGTCTGCTTTAATCACAAGTTCACCAAGACTTGGGAAAGCAAAGAAAGGCTAAATAAACTTAGTATGGAACCGATCTTCGTATTCGATGAAGATAGAATGAATTTACTCGGCATTTTCTTTGCTTTTAAATACATTTAATCTTACCGCATTCTGGGCGGAATTTAAGACATCTGCGTCCCGGGCTACCGGCTGCCGCTGCCTGAACGTTCTCCGCTCGTGATTTTCAATAAGATTATTAGGATAATTATTATTATGATTATCATCATTATTATCATTATCAAGGATAAAATCATAAAGGCCACCGTGCACAACAGTCGAAGACTTTACGAAATGGTTCGTTTAGACGCTACGATGAAGGCCATATGGTAATCCTACAGCGTTAAAAACTGCATGCAATAATCAGGATCTGGCGTGAGCCTCGTAAAACACCATAGAGTTACTCACAGAAATTCCCTCTATGCTTTTTGCTGAGGAGCTTTCGAGCATCCAAGAGTGGTTCTTAGGGGACGGGAGGAAGCTCGGTATAATGTCATGAAAATGAGCCCTGGGATGGCAATGGAGGCGCTATTATGATAAGCGAAATTTTTTCTTAATCCTTCGCAGCCGAGATTTAATAGGCAGAAAACATCAAAATGTGGGTTTTTTTCTATAATGATTTTAAACACAATTATTAGTTGCAAAAAATTATTCCTAATCTGAGATTTCACGAGCGGAAAAAATGTTAATTCTTATCTTAAATTTCGCGTGCAAATAAAAAATTTATTCATAATACCAATTTAAATTGATCGTCGGTAATCATATTTTAGTAATTGTGATTCCTTAATTTACGTTTTGACTTTTCCGGCCTCAAGGTTTTTATCATTTCCGGATTTTATTCACTCCAAATTTACATGCGATCTGGTGAGGACTGCGACACTGTGCAACGCAATTGTACATTGCCACTCAGTGAAATATATGTGTTAAAACTGCGTGTGTATGTGAACTGAATCTCCCTGCATGATAGTACTCGAGTCGAATGAGAGAAAAGCGTAGAGCCTCCCAAACCATTTCGTTTGCTTATGACTGCATCAAAAACCATTTCGTTATAAATAATACTTTTTTACGATTTAACACTCCCACTATATATTGTACTCTCAATATGATTATGTGTTCCCTGTCAGCAAGCTTTTATCTGGAACATTTCCGCGGACACCACATCAAAAATATATCAACCTCTTTTATTATAAATTTTACTATTCATATTAGAGCTTCATGGAAAGACCTTTTTTTCTGATCAATTGGCGATATCAGTCGATTTCAGTCGAACGGCTATCGCTGGCCGGGATGCAGGAATGATTTTCTCGCGGACTTATTGCAAAGTTTCCGTAAATGGCAGGCAGTATTTTATAGCTCGGTTATGGGCGGATATTCGGCGCCTTGGGTCGTAAAATCTGCATAACCACTCGAGATTGGCAAGCCTGGCCGGCTGGTGTTGGAATGCTTGCCTAACGTGCCCGTACCCGGTATGGCAGAAAATTTGTCAGTCGGCATGCCCGGTAGTGGGTTTTGTGAATATTGCAGTATTGTGATCGACGATGACACCACACTGTTACATCATGTATCTTACAGTTACACCGTGCACCACACTGTTACATCATGTATCTTACAGTTACACCGTGCACCACACTGTTACATCATGTATCTTGCAGTTACACCGTGCACCACACTGTTACACCGCGCACCACACTTACACCGTGCACCACACCTACACCGTGCGCCACACAGTTCTCTGTTCTCGTGTACACCTCATACTTACAACCATGTAACCCGCACCGACACAGTGCACACCGCCTTCATAACATTGATAAGCGTTTCGGACGTACCAGTAAACCAATATTTAAAGAGTTACTATCATTATTCCACTGGAGCGTTAAAAACAGCCGAAATTTTGGGAGATAAAACTTTGAAAACTATTTATAACGTCGCAAAAAAGTTATGAAAATGTTTTTCTTGCATAGAAAATCCCAGAATTTTTTGCTCTTCTACCTTATTTTATTTTTTAAAAGTAAATCTAGTAAGAGTATAAAATATTATGCGCGCGTAAAGTTCAGAAATTCACTTAAATCTCACGGCTACAGTGACCCTGAAACGCTGGAGTGCTGTTCTGGCCCCCGTTAGGCATGCCGTCCTCGTCACCAAGGTCCCGGTAGGGCAGTGGGACACAACTACCGCGCATCTAATCTTAGTTGGGACCAACGATGTCCTCAGTGGGGCCAGATGATGCCTTCAGTTGGACCAACTGATGCCTTCAGTTCGGCCAGCTGATGCACGATGCTGTTATTGCCGTCGGTAGTGGTGCAGAGATGGATTACAGATTGTGACCACGAACACGTCTAGTAGTTTCTTGTAGTTCTTAATGGTGAACTCACCTTCTCTTAAATTCATTGGCAAGACTTTAAATAGCCTCGGCCCCGCCACGCAAAGGGATTTTTCCCGTAGAGATTGAAACTTGAAACTGCAGCTCGTTGCGTAATGGGGAGTATTCTGCGCAGTCTCCCTACTTCTTTCACTGTGATATGTTACAATCCTGAAGGTTTCACTTTAAAAGTAGGAGTGCGGTCCGGTTATTATTTTTCATGTGTACAGATAGACACACAGCTCTGCATGGTCTCCTCTGGAGCGAGTATAGATCCAGGCGCTCCAGTCTCCCCAGCACCTCCATTCTGCTTATCCTGGACGCGAAGATTCGCTGAACTGCTCTCAATTTCTGCAATGCGCCGTCCATGAATGGGGTCCAAAGTTGGCAGCAGTACTGAAGGAGAGGGATCACAAGGGCTCTGAAGAATGTGATCCACGGTTCCGCTTCTCTTGTTCTGAACGTCCGCCAGATCCACCTTATCTGTCGCCTGCCTCGTGCAGTTATTGCCGCTATGTGATCATCAAATTTGACCTGGGTACTCATCTTCACACCGCAGTTCCTGACAGCTGTAATTCTGTAAGTTATAGTTCTGTTAATTTGGTCCCATTGAATGGTATGTTGTTCACTAGGTCCTAATCATGTATTGCAGGCAGGTCTTCTTGTAATCTCTCACAGTGTGTCCTGGTTGCACCCCGCACCTGCACCCCGCACCTGCACCCCACACCTGCACCCCGCACCTGCACCCCGCACCTGCACCCCGCACCTGCACCCCGCACCTGCACCCCGCACCTGCAGCAGGTCATCACGCACGAGCGTCGCTCACATCAAAGGCTCGCGCCGCGCCAAGCGGTCGATGCCAGCACGCGATGTGGCCTCACTGCTGGGCCTGGGCCTCAGGCTATGGCTGGACACTGGGCCTCAGGCTATGGCTGGACTCTGGGCCTCAGGCTATGGCTGGACACTGGGCCTCAGGCCATGGCTGGACTCTGGGCCTCAGGCTATGGCTGGACACTGGGCCTCAGGCCATGGCTGGACACTGGACCTCTGGCTATGGCTGGACACTGGGCCTGAGGCTATGGCTGGACTCTGGGCCTCAGGCTATGGCTGGACACTGGGCCTCAGGCGATGGCTGGACACTGGGCCTTGGCTGGACACTGGGCCTCAGGCTATGGCTGGACACTGGGCCTCCGGCTATGGCTGGACACTGGGCCTCAGGCCATGGCTGGACACTGAGCATCAGTGTATGGCTGTAAATTAGCCATAGCAGGAAGCCGCTCACATGGTCACAAGTCGAGCACGAATAACGCTTGTTTGATTAGTAACGATGCACTAACTTTAAAATACGCTTGTTTTGACTCATAATTCAATACTAACTCTAACGAAAATTTGTTTTAACTTGTAATTAAGCACTAACCTTAAAGAACGCACGTTTTATCTTTATTGTAATCATGCAGTAATTCACTTAGCGCGTCGTGTTGTCCGTGTCAAGTGGGTCAGGTTCCGGGACGGTCCCGGCCTGGGCGGTCAGTTGGACGAGCGCTGACGATCAGAGCAATCGATCGTGATAAGCAAATTGTGGCCACTTGCCCAATATCGTGCACGCGGTGGAGGCTGATCAATACAGGAGGCTAGCCTACCCTTTGCAAGGAGGGCGGTTCAGGCTTGCTTTCTTCTCGCTGTGAGGGGGACAGATCAGGCTAGCCACCTTCCCGCTGCAAGGGGGGTTGTTCAGGCTAGCCTCCTTCCCGCTGTGGTTCAGGCTATCCTCCCGTGAGGGGGGATGGTTTAGGTTAGCCTCCAAGCCCCCTGCGAGGGGAGTGGAGGCGGTGTGGGGAGGTTCAGGCTAGCCTCCAATCACCGCCCAAATGGCCTGGAGTAATTAGGCTCTTGGCCGTTAGAAATTCCGATCTGGGATTCATTAGGCGTCGTTGGCAGGCCGGGAATTTTGAATTCCTTTGATACGTGCACCGGGGAATATGTGGACGAGTTTCTATTAAGTAATTACTTGTAAAATTGAAAATGAGTTTAGATAATACGAAATGAGAACAACATGGCTTAAGAAATTCACAAAGGATATATGGATTAATTTTCATTTTCTATAAACATTATTATGAAAAATATACATAAAATTTCCTTTTTACGGGAATGAGAAAAATTCATTGCTTTGAAAAAGTGACTAATATTTGCATAACGTTAAAGCTGAAAAATTACTCTACATTTCGCTGTCTGTTTCTATTGAAAATTTACTTGCAAAGAATTTTTTGCAGAACATCTTTAGCTTAATCATTTTACCTAATTCTAATTTCTCAAATTGAATTTTCCAAGAGTAATTCCCGTTATCAATGCCACAACAGAAATTTTCTTCCGACGAATCACACACGTTACAATCACAAATACTTATTGATTGAACAGCTAAGTTTCATTACACATTTTCTATTTTGTTGTCAAGTCTAATATTTTAAACTTTCATAAAGTTATTTTACCGTTACCGTTCTTTTCTTTGCAAAAGTCAAAAGCAGCTCTGTATTAATTTAGTAATGGAAGACAACAAAATATATTGGCTTTGAAAATTGTGTAAAACTGCGCTAAGTTGATTATTATATGATGCGTAATTTGCATTTTTATTAAACCTCAGTATTAGCTGGAATTTGCAACTTTGATTCTGAATAATTTCCTCCATCACAGTATTTACTGCCTCTTGGAAATAGGTTTGTAGATATTTTTTGGGAATAAAGGATGTTAGGTGTAAAGTCAAGAACAAAATGCCGGAGAAAATGTTTTCCTATGACGAAAAACCGTATACTTATCGAATTACATTTACAGTGAATTATAGTACCGTAATTTTTTCAGTAATTCACAGTTTGATGAACAGTTAATCAATTGCTGGTTATTATTATCAAGGCTGGCACATTTTTCCGTTTTCAATTTCCATTTCTCAATTATTAACCTCTCTCCGTTTCTCAATTGTTAACCTCTCCATTTCTCAATTGTTAACTTCTCTCCATTTTTTTATTTTTTCTCTATTTTTCCTCATATACAGCAACTTATTGCTGAATTTCTCGGCATAAAAAGAAATGCGAGTTTCCATTTTGGATATAATAACGATGCTATTTAGTTCGCCTGAAAGCTAGAGCTCTCTTCGGCATTTTATACAGCCTGTTTACACGTAGTTTCGAACACTGCCGTTGTAAAAGCCATTCAAAAAGTTTGTTCGTCGGGCCAAACTCGTTAAAGCCTCGTTATGGAAGTCATATAAAAACTGATATTGATGTCATAAATGGCAACCATTTTCGCGGCGTTTTTCACCCTGTAATGCCGTCGTAAACTATCGAGAAAACGTGCCAGGGTGATGATGCTACCTCAAAATGTTGCACATGTTTAGCATAAACTTGACGAGGTGTTAATTGCTTCTTTGACTTCAATGGTTCACGGGACTAATATGAGTGATTGCAATAATTTATCATGTTTTCGGTAGCGAATTTTTCGATCGTTGCTTCGTTCGTCCGTAAGGAGTTGAAGCGTCGTTGTTAGAAATGCTTTATTTCATTGTTCATTGTTAGCTCTCGGTAGGTCCTCTTTACCGCATCCAGCACCCTGTTCGTCATTACTCACGTTGCCAATTACTTTTTAAGTGGTCGTGATTGTTAACGTTCTCTCAGTAATTTGATTAAACCTAATACTGCTTCAATATTTGTTATTAGCTTTTTGTTATTGCGTGATTTTTGTTATATTTGCCTTTAAAATCCCGTGAATTTTTTTCACTTAAACAGAAACCGTCAAGAACAACATAGCGCTAATTAATTATAAACTTCTGTTTCTGAAATTCTTCACAGAAACCAAACATGGAGCCTGCAGTTTAAACAGCATCACCAACCCGAAGACTGAATGGAAGTCATAATATACACTCCATAGTCTCGCTCAATATCACTCAATTACTCCCACTGAACTCAGTCTCGTCTGATCGAACCTTGGACAAAGTTCGCAAAAGTGGCGGGAGTTCTATCGTTTCTCCATCGACAAGAAAGGCACAATGTCGTTTGAATATTAGAACACAGGCCGATGTCGCAGCGTTCTAAAGCTCAGTGGCGAAAATAATCGTGTTTGGGACCTGAATTTCTTGGCTCGCGATGCTTGGGCACGAAATTGGCATGGCAGCTCCATTACGGGCAGCCGTAACTTGGCTTCGCTATATACCCAGGCTCTGGAACTCGTGCTAAAATTTACGTCCCATTTTTTGGGGGGAAGCACTTGTGCGATGTAATTGCTATCGTACCGTCCTGCGCACCAATGTTGTGCGCATCCTGCTTGCGAGTAACGTGCGACGCAAATGCCGCAGGTGCTTTGCTTTCGAGGAAACTTTATTCTATTTATTTTTAAGAAATTTGTATACTTATTTTATTATATATTATTATTCATATAAAAATAAAAATATAATATATATTATTTATTTTTATATAGATATTTATAAGAAATTCATATCAGTTACCTGATTATCTGGGCTTTCAATTTGTGAGGGCAGAGAATTCTGACTTTTAGTTTATTATGAACTTTTTCAGCCAAGACAAAATTAACCCGAATTATATCAATAAATGGTTATATTTTACAGCTTCAAAAACAACTGTACACTGAACAATTCATAAACTACCTATTAATAAATCTCGTTGGGTGTTTGACTTATCATCCTTGCGTTACAGGAGCTTGCGTTAGAAGCTCCGCTGCTGCTAGTGCGCACGTTAAGTTACAATTATTCATTGTAATTCATGGTTTAAGTCTTGCCAAAAACATAATTCAAAAGTTTAATCATTGTTTTTTTTTAACTATTCCAATCACTCTATCAGTATTATTTTGACTATCCCAATAATTGTATCATCATCAATTATTTAACCATTTCATCATAACTCTCCCAATAATTATGGCATTATTATTTAACATGTTACAATTTTATTGGGTCGCTATAATTGAACAATTAGTGCGTTATTATTATTTCAACACGCGTTTAACTTTTCATTATTCCCTTATTCCAATAATCACATCACTATAATATCAAGTGTCCCAGTCTGACCTGCATTTCACGTCCCCAATTCTAACGTGACCCACGGCGGTGCCTCCCCTATCAGAATAAAGATCCGCATCAGCTTCTGATGACTCAAATCAGACGCTGCCACGCCTCTGAATTTTGTTAGGGATCGGAAGTGTCGTCAGTGGTCGCCGCTGGATCAGTCCTGGGCGACGTGGGCGCCGCATAATTAACAACTTGAGACGAGTGGGCGACAGAGTCGTCCATCTCAGCCGCCCCCCTGGCGATGATTAGTAATTCTGCTCTGACGTGGCGGGAGTCAATCCGTCGTCTACGTGGAAAGTAACTTCCGTCAATGCTATTCCTACCTGGCGGTTTGGTTAAGAGAGTTACCCTTAGTCTATTCACACATTAATTGTTATCAATGCTATTCCTACCTGGTAGTCTGGTAACGAGAGTTACCCTTAGTCTATTGACACATTAATTGTTATCAATGCTATTCTTACCTGGCTGCCTGTTAATGGGAGTTACACTTGGTCTATTAGTACATTAATTGTTATCAATGCTATTCTTGCCTGGCGGTCTGGAAACGTGAGTTACCATTAGTAGTGAAAAAATTAATGTTTGGTTTAGGGTGGTTAACTGACAGACTTCAGACTGTTCATTTATTAGTCACTCAAAGGTACGGAATTTTGAGTTGAAATTTTCCATATCATCGCATGCTTTGCCAATACTTCCTGGTTTATGTTAAACTGAACTTAAGGATGATCAACGTGCATATTATGTCAGGAAGAACGGGAATATCCACCATGTGATTCATTATTGATAAATAATTATGAGTGGTCTGACTGAAGTCATTTTGGTCAAAACTGTGTTAGTAAATCTCAAATATTGTGGGTAATGCGTGCGTGAGTTATAATACTTACTTACGCATAAGTAATACCAATCACTAATATCGGCAAGCGCCGAAATGCTCGCCAAAAGCTTGTAATGTGATATTATGTAATTAATTTTATATTTTTTTACTACCCTGATATCCGTGTTGATAATATTTTTCTGTAACGCATTCTAACTATTACTATAATCGGGTCCAAATGTACATGATTTTGTTATTTATTTGCAAGGACTATTTATTTCCTGGCCATGTCTCTCTGCGCCACGCAAAGTACACGGGCTTAAGTTTTAAACTGAAAATTATCATTAAATCTGATAAAGTTCTTCCAAATTCTTGCATGTCACTC